CGCTAATTCTAATTTACGGTGATTCCTGAGACTGAGTGAAGTAAGTGATTTTTTCTCATCATTCATTCATTCTCAGACTTAATTTAATCATTCAGGTACTCCGCCGAAGCAAGGGACACTCCTATTAAATTTGTATCGGAAATGGGCGTCGGCGCAATAGAATATGAGTTTTTAATTTTTTCATGAGCCATGAGCATGTAATTTTAATAAATTAGGAGTCCTTTTGGCCCATAATTAAGGTCTGACACCGCCCATTAACGTTAAGAGAAATGTTGAACTACATTCCGACATTCCCATTGAGTTAATTTTTTCTTTATATCAATGTTAAGAAAGGAAAATTGTATGTCAATATAAGGCATCTTCGCATTAAAAAATTTGGTCTAAATATTCAAAGTAGGTCTTTCATATTAAAAGTAGGCCTGTATAATTTGTTGAAGTGCATGTGTGCAAAATTTCATTGAGATAGCTCATGAAACATTTTCACAATTCTCCTCAAGGTTGATCTCATTATGCAAAGGTCGCACAGGCCATTTTGGATTAGTGATCTCGCCCCCTTTTAAATGGCGGAAAACGCTGATACTTAGCTTAGGAAATATTCATTATTATCTCTATATACATCAAACTATTTGATAACTTGTGTTTCAGAATGCATTTTGAAGACATTTAAATTTAAACTAGAATTTTTAAATTTGAGCTTTAAAAACCCGGTAGTCCAGTAGAGTCCATATTATTAACGATCAGAATTGACCGTGTGAAAAAAGTCATGGGAAACCATTCACAGCCATTTGCATTCATAATGCTATGCCGTAGTACTACCGACTACTTCAAGTTTCTTTCATAAGAGTTTGCTGTGTGCAAAAACTATTAACACCATTGGCAGCATTGGTCAGGGAAAGCTTTAGTTAATTAGTCATGTGCCAAAGTTGAAAGTTCAAAATAAGTAGATCCCAAACAACATTTTAGGGGATGCGTTGCCTTATATAGACTATATAGTATAGCATATACCGGTATAATGGACGCTGAAGATTTGGTAAACAGAAAAGCCATATAATAATACATTATATTAAATTTACTGATATAAATAGTGCATAGTTAATAAGCTAAAATTTATCTATAATTGTTAACATTATTAAACTTATTTTTTTAATACTGCATTAGTTCTGAAAATAAAATTATCATTAAAACAAGAGTTATATAAGAACAGCGGAATTGGGTACCAGAAAATGAAAATGGAGATGCGGTCCATGTTAAAAAAGGACAAATTAAGTCGTACTTTAAAAATTCATAACTACAACAGCTAAAAATATGATTTTAGTGTTATAATTCTTTAAAAAATTAGCTCTATTCAACTATGCCATTGGTTTATTTTTACAAAAAAGTTTTAATTTTCTAATCAAAGTACCCAAGTTGTCCCAAGTCCCAAGTAACTCTCATTTCCGAGTCATTTCTCATTCACAAAATTTTGTATCATTAAATATTAGCTTTATACTTACTATCGCTCTAAACATTTTGGACATTTATATTTATTGGTTGGAATATTACACACTGTGCAAGTTGACATTTTTTAAAATGTTCGCATAAAGTAATAAAAAAATCGAGATTATTGCTTATCAGTAGCAAATATCATGAACCACATTGTTTTTATTTGATTCCGGATAAACTTTTTAATATTCGGAGTGGCTCCATCCATCATTTAATCAAAATGAGAAATATTATTTGGTTTTTTTTTCCAGAAACTTTTCTATGCTGATCACCGAAAGTTTAATACTTATACCATAATGCGGTGTAGACTTTAACTTCTAAAAAGTATTTAATTTCAAGCTTAACTAATTTTATGTCCAAATGTCACTACAACTAGCGTGGATTTAGTATTAAGATGTACATATATTTATAATTATGTATTGGATCACACTAAGGGAAATAATAGAAAGTTATTCTAATTTATGTCATCCAGTCAAAGCTGTAGTGTGCTTAAGCTCCTATCGATTGGTACACGTTAAACGGAATCATCCTTAGCACTAGTTTGGTCGAGACGGCTGGGGGCGGACTTGGGTGCACTAAATGACCTTGTCTTGCCATGGCCTCAGCGATTAACTGATTATTTATCATAGTGATAGCCAATATGCCTACAAGTAGTCATCCAATAGTTAATAGTTGCAAATGAAATATAAGAACAAGGCATCTTAAACTTGAATTAATCGACAGTTCAATAAGATTTGGACGTTTAGATTTAGAGCCTTCTTCAGCAAACCAGACAAATAGAAGTAAAACAAGTAACAGAAAACAGTTTTAAAAAAAAAAACTTTTGAGATTTCCTTTGTAGTTGCATACCATCCGTAAATATCGTCCGTAATAACTGCCTTATTGTGCCTAGACGTTCATATTAAAGTTAAAGAGTCCGTAAGAACTTAAAAATTTAAAAAATAATAATAATTTTAAAAATTACCTTTCTTTGGGGCTTTTGAAGCGAAACTACAGAACTTGAATACTTTGTTTCATGTTTTTCTTTCCTCCCTTGCTTGTTTTAAACTTGTATGATCATAAGCGGGAGAAATTAAACAACGATGAAGATGCTATACAATAACACTACACATATGATTTTGCGACATAAGCAGAACCATCGTGTGACTTTTGGAAACCAGCTGCCCCTTTTCGATTTTATGCCCCCTGATAGCAAAAATGATTGTTAAATTTGTTTCCACTTGACAACTTTGGGGCCCTTAAATATGTGAGTATTGTGAGGCCTCACGACTGCTTCAACATCACAACTTCGGGCTCCTTAAATATTCAAGACCCCTGCAGCCACAGGGCCCACGTGATGGATCTGACTTGACCCTTACCAAACCCCTCACCTCTCCACTGTTTCGTTACCACTATTCTATTTCTCCCACCATCTACTCTACATCCCCTTAAACGGTTCGCCCTTACTTAACCACTATTCTCTTTCTCCCACCATCTACACTACAGCCCCTTAAACGGTTCGTCCTTACTTAACCTCACCTGCTGCAAAGCTGAAGTGAAGACACGGCTCCAGAAAAATATTTGGGCTGGAACTGGGACTGTGTAATCGGCTATAAAAATTGACTTCTCCAAATAATTTTTTAAGTGTGTTTGCTCTATATAAATTTGTTTAAATTTGTATTGGGAAATTGTTCAATTCACTGGTGTTATCTGATATTTCAAAATTGTTTTTGCTGGTTGTGGAATACATTTTTTTAAAAAATAGATAGCCTCTTCAAACTTTTGAAGGCTTTAAATTGTAGATAAAAAAAACAAATATACGCAATAGAGGTAAATAAAACTCTATTCAATATGTTCACAATTACAAGATAGTAAAAACGTTTCCTTGATGTTGAGCATGATAGTCGTATATTGAACTCACAGGCCATAAGTACACGCCGTTTGTATTAAGAGACACTTGGTTAAATCAGAGCTACCACACCTTGGGAAATTTCCCAAGATCTTGGGAATTCACGACCCCCTTGGGATCTGGGGAATAATTTTGAAAATCAGGCAAAACCTTGGGAAATCTTAACTGGTGGGAAAGTTTTATTATATTTTTCGAAAAAACGCAACATTATGTGATAAAAAAATGAAGTGAAAATAAAGCAAAATAATTTTTAAAGTAACAAGGCAAAAAATTAATTGTTTTAGTTTTCTTTTCTGGTTTTATTTTTTAAATCCACTCATCAAATAAATTAAAACTCTTCTGATATTAAAGTTATTATTGGGAATTGTTACAAATTTAATAATTAAAAAAAAATTCAATTTTCTTTTTTTTTTTTTTAAATTGAAGATTTACAAATTACATCCAGGTTTTGGCTGTTTATTAAAAAAGGGGGGGGGGGTTAGGCTCGGAAACTTTATCATTAGTCATTAGGCTATTAGAATTAGCGACCATACGAAAAACAGTACCAGCCGAAGAGTGAACGATAGTGTTCAATCAAGGATCCATGCCATAGTAAAATTTGATTATTTCAATTACTTATACAATGTGTTCAAAATATAATGCATCTGTAAAAAAATCCAGCCTAATTTTCATCCAGTTGGCGTTGGAAAAAATATTTGTGGATTGAAACACAGGTAACTAAGATATTAAAAGTATAGGCCTACGTTGTATGATTATAAATGAACAATTCCTTTAAAAGTATTTTATTTAGTTGAAAAAATCGTTATAATGTAAATTTACAAGAAAAAAATAAAAATACTTATTGTTTTCATAATAATACCAATCCATTTTAACTAAAATTATTATTAATAAATTTTGCTTCATTGCTTTGCAAACCCCACTTCTGATCAACAGACACAATAAGAAAAATCATTTTTTTGATGAAGAACCGTTTGCCCTTGTAAAAGGAATTCTGTGTTGATTAGCCTTGTAAGCTTTGTTTCCAAGTGACTTCTATTACACATGTATTGTAGATGATATTTTTACCAGAGAATTCGGACGTAATATTTAGTAGCCCAACTCCAGTGGGTATTGATATTTTGAATTATAAATTATTCTTTTAAAAACAAATTGTTTGTTTCTCTTATGTGATAAACATTTTTAAAATGTCTTTTTCAATAAATTTCAGTCAATTAATGTACCATGTTTTTCAGGGGAATTAATTCAATCTATTATTACATTAATTACATAGAAAAGGAACGGTTGAGGCGACAACACTAGACACATTTGTGTCTATTGCCTCAAGCCTTCAAACCCCTAGTGCATGATTTCCTCATCAACACCAGTAACAGAAACATTGCAAATCCCATCTACATGCATAGGAGCCAAAATGATCAATAAATTGATCGTGGGCCCTTAAGATATAGAAGAAGAAGAAGAAAACACCTTTTTTTTAAAACTCTTATATATTTTTATGATCTTGTGAAATCTTGGGAAATTTGTTCACCAAATCTTGGGAAATTAAAAAAATGTGAGTGGCAGCAGTGGCAGCCCTGGGTTAAATATGTGAGATAAACCAACTTTTGATACCTAATGCCTAATAATAGAATAACTACGATTTCGAAGTCTGCTATAATGAACTGAACATTTACAGTCAAGTTATAAATAAATTTAACTGAATGCATTTTGTATGAGGTTATGGCGATGGTAAGCGTCGAAGTCTAAGGATTTTAATTTTCGATTAAGTTTAACAGGCGTAGACTGTAGAATAAGAAATTAAGAATAATTAAGGCTTAATTTAAAGGAGGCTCAACCCGGCAACGGGTCAACGAACTCAAGACTGTTAATATTATTATTTGTTTAAATTTTATTTAACACCAGAATTTATACTGTATTTTAACAGCACAATATATTAATTAATTATTACTATAGTGAACTTAATTATTATACTATACTATACAGTAACACAGTCGGCTTGGGAATAACCCTCAGCCTCAACCCATCTAATAGTAAATACTATACACTATCGACTATCACTATAATTTATAATGAAATACTAATAATAATTGTCAATAGGTATCGAATTATAAGTAGCCTATTATTTTATTTTTAAATTTTAATGCTACCCACAGATTTGGTTTAAAATTCTGTGGTGTTTATGAATTTAGTGGCTTCTATTGGACTGGACACTTTGCATCATGATGAAATAATTCTTTGGGACTTTGGCATTTATCTAGTTCAGTCAGCATATCACATTCATTTATATCATTATTTTCTTGTTACCTTAAATTATTCTCCAATCTAGACATCCTCATTTGAGTGTATCTTTGTTTTACAGATTTTTTAGGTAATTTAATTGATTTAAAAATCCCCATGCCCAAACGTTATTGAAACTTTGCAACTGTTCAAATCTCTCTGATAAAGAATTTATAACCATAACATCTGTATTTGGAGCCTCGCCAATGCATGCATTTTCAAACAGCCTTTTCTCATTCTTCTTCTTTTATTTCAAAAAATTAAAAATGGGCTCTACATCTAATTCTGTCTGTAGCTATTTTTTGTTGTTGCCAACTCTAGTGCATTTCCAAATCGATTTTCATGATAATCAATTAAATAATCATTGACTCTATATATTCTATTAATTAGTGAAACTAACGTAGATAGTTCCACTGAGGCATCCTGCATAGTTTTGCTGACAACATTTACCCTGCCTAAGATATCATACCAGACATTTATTAATTGAAAAAACATAATCTTCTATTTGTCATAATAGTGTTTCTGCCTCATGTCACACTGCAAGATCAGATGCAGACTTTTCTAAAAGTTCATAAAGTCTTCTTGAATTCCCGAAATTTCATATTTAATGGCTTTGACACGTTGACCAAATCTCAGCTGATTGTAATAATTTTAATATTTGTATACATGGTTAATAAATTACTAATATGTTACATTAAGAAATGGCGTCAGCGGGGCGAGTCTAAGACTCTTTTTGCCCCCCCCCCCCCCAAATTACCCCTCCCCGATCCGATGTATCGGGTCGCGGAGCGGCACGTTGGAGATTATTTCAATGAGAGATAATTAAATTATTTATTACAGAGTGGAATATATCATGGTTATAATCAATTTAATTTAGTATTTATTTATAATCTATTCATTAAACTAAAAAATCGAGGGAGAGTTTATTCACTCAAGGATGTTGAAAGTGTATTCAGGTGAATGTCAAATTTGTAGTTGCTGCCTCCTCAGCAACCGGTCTACAAACACCTATTACCGCCAATCAACCAATTTTGAGGTTTACCAAATAAGCAATATGCTGACAAACTTAACGCTGTCGCCTCTGCCTAATCAAAGTTGCTTTCACCGGAAAAGGGCGCCGTGGCAAAGATAAAAGAACTCAATGCATATACAAAGGAAGCGGCTGCCTGTGTCAGCAGCGACTTTTTCTGCCACTTCTTGTGGATGAACATACCATTTATGTAATGTGGCAAACATTTGGCAATAACAATTATTTTCCTTCCATGCCACCCACATGCATTGCTTTTTCATATTTTTTGAGATCACTGAAGGTACCCTGAGCACGTGGGCCCCCGGGCAACTGCTCGAGTTGTCAGTGCCTTGAGCTGGCCCTGAGTACAACCTATAATGGCTATACTAAATATTACTACTATAGTATCTATACACTAAAGCTAATAGTCTCTGAAAATTAAAAAAAAATATATTATCAGTGCCATAGTCTATAAGTGAAAGTTAAAGAAGCTAGAAGTAGAAAATAGAATGTTGACATCAATTACAATGAACAAGATACTGATGAGTGATGTTAATGACTAAATCTTCACTCAGGTCAGTTCAGTTCTAGACATGTGCAGCCTATCAAGGCCAAGTTACTATTATTATAGTTATAGAAAGAAACGTGAATGTATTTTATTTCTTTTTTTAGCATACTAGTGGAGTGATCATTATTAAGCGTTTTTATATTAAAAATTCCTTATTTACCAGATTTCATTAAACTACATTAAAGCACTTCAATAGTTAGTAGAGCAAGTATTTATTGTTCATGGTTTTAACTCAATATCGTTTATCTTTTTTTCCTTAAAACTAAAACAGCATGGCCTAGGTACAGACTACTATGTAAATATTGCCTGTAGTAGAAAATTCAGAAAGCTTCTGTGATAAATTTCCATTTTACAATGTAACTGACATGAGAATATTCCATTTCATGTTGCATCATTCATTCAGTGATTTTAGAGATAATATTATCTCACTTGATGTAAACACAGAAGTGATGGGTGCAAAGTCCATTTTACTCAGTGCAAAAAAAAAAAAAAAGGCCAAAGTACTAGTTCTACTTCTACCATTTCAAAATTAATTTGTCCCATTTTGCCTCTAGTCTATTTTATGTTCTCACCTAATTCAGCTTCACCTTTTACAGAGGAAAGGAACATGTTGAAATCAGTGAATGATGGCTTAAATTTTTAAAAACATACACTAATCATGTCTGTGATTTTGAAGGGTAATATTATTTTTATTATGACTACACAGTGACTGTGATTTGCTTGCTACAATGTTATTGCTTTTGGTTTCTGTCAAATTTGATAATGAATTTTTTCGCATGCATAAACATCACTCAGATAATATAATATTCAGATAATTTAAGAGTTAGTGATGAGTTCTTAACTGACATTTAAAACTGTTATTGACATGTTTGAGATCAATGAGATATGTTTCACTTTCATAGCAAATACAAAAAAAAAAATATGCAGGACCTCATGAACACAAGATTAGAAGGACAAAAACTAGTAAATCTTTTTATTTAAAACTCCTTTTTTTTTTTTCAGGTTTACCATTGGAGAATGTCATCATGACAAGTCTACAAAGTATAACAGGGAGGACAGTGTTGATGAGAGCAACTAGTTACTCATCTGGTTTGCAAATCACAAAGGTTACCAAAGTATGCCATCAGCGTCTTAGTCCTGCCAGCCGTCTGGTGCACACTGTCGGTAAAAGTGTTGACGCGCCAAGCCTCTTGATGGCTGATTCAGTGTCTCCAGAAAAATATGTTCAGTATAGCTCCATGGCAGACAATCAAAACTGGGGCCGCATAGTGACTCTAAGAGTGCCAAGCAAACACGATGAGAACAAAACGCTAGATTTTAAAGTATCTGTCCTGGACACCTACCCAGATGCTGATGACCGGACTCGACCCACAGTTGTAGCCGTTCACGGTTTGCCAGGAGGCGGTATAGACTTTCTGTCACTTGCATCAAAACTCCACGCTAAAGGCATTCGATTCGTAGCACCAACAAGTCTGGGTAAAGTTTTTTTGTAAACCTCAGTGGAAAAGATTCTAGTGTATGGGATAAGTAATATTCTTTGCCATGGCTGCCTAGCAAATTTCAGCTCCACTTCTCTTGTGGTTAAAGCCAGAACTTTAGAATAGTGTTCTCATGGTTTCATCATGTTTTCAAGATCTGCTGTGCATGACAGAAATAACTGTTTTGCTCTTGGTATCCTTTTAAGAGAGGGCCATCGTCTTACCCCCATTGCCTTACCCCTATGATTTTATCCACCCCTCACCCCATCATCTTACCCCCATGGTCTTGCCCCATCACCTTACCCCTTTGCCTTACCTTCATCGCCTCACCACCGTTGTCTTACTCCCATCGCCTTACTGCCATTTTCTTACCCCCATCACCTTAACCCCATCATCTTAACTTAGCCCATTAATCTTACTCCCATCATCTTACCCCCATCATCTTACCCCCATTATTTTTACCCCCATCATCGTACCCCCATCATCTTGCCCCATAGTCTTACCGCATTGTCTTACCCTAATCGTCTTACACCCCCAGGTATGGTAGAAAGTCCAGTTGAACTGAAGTATTTGGACGATGTTGACTTTTCCACAAAGGGTCGAACAAAAGTGCTGCGGCAGCTGCTTCAAGAAATGAACATTCATAAGTATTACTTTAAAGTAATCTCTTACATTATTTCATGGGACTTATGCATGCATTTTTAGGACTGATATGTTTCCATATGATTGTTTGTAAAATATTTTGATAACAGAAGTCCTCTTTAGAAATTCTAATTCTTTTATGTTATAATTATAATAATGTAATTCTTTTATGTTGAAAGGTTTTTTTCAGTAACAAAAAAAATGTTTTGTGTACCTGTAGACCTGAAATGTTATAATTTCTCTGCCAGCGTAGACCTTTTCATGGGGCATAGTGCCGGGGCATGGACGCTCTATGAAGTTGGTGCCTATTGGTCGAATTTCGGTGCCTTGTTATTTGTGAATCCCGGGGGAGCCAGTCCCAACAGGTAAAAATATTTGATTTTACATGTTCATCGCTCTTATGTTACAGTGGGTATGCCCCAATGTTACAGCAGGTGGGCCCATGAGAAATGTCACACTCCAATGGTCATCCACCATTTAGGAATTAACTAAGCTAATAAAATAAGATTAAAATCCCCAAAGGCTTCTAACGCAAGCTGTAATTCTGTTGCAACAGTATCAGGGTCAGTAATCAAACTCACATTAAATGAGTTATGTCTCTTAAATCAGACGTGATGGGTAAATGGAGGTGGGAGTTCCACTAATTTTTTTATCCCATGTAAAACAAATTGTCTGATTTGTTCCCCTTAGATAATATATTATATATTTTCAAAATTGTCAAGTTGACTTGAGTGAAATATTACATTAACAGTATTCATGAAAACAGTCCTCTCTTAATGGGTATGATTTATTATGTATGTATGCCTTTTTTTTTCTTTACTACTTATTTAGGGGAATACGGCCATACTTCCTAATGCAATTTATGGCTTTCTTGCTTCAGTGGTCACTAGGTAGATGGCTTATACTTCCAGTTATGGAAATTGGTTATAAATTTCAAGGTACCTTTGAAATTTATTCTTACATTAAGTATATTTAAGTTTACAAAAGTCTCTTACATTTATTTCAAATTTTTAACCCAGTTTTATTGCTTTTCAAAAAATAAAATGTTTTAAATAAGATAAAAAAAACAAAAGATTATTAACAAAAGAACAACACAAACTGAAAGGAAGTTGATGTTTTTGTTGCCTATATGTTGTTAAGTTCTTCTGGCTCTACAATGTTCCACTTCCAATTCTAATCTTAAATCCCCCATTCAGGGTTGTAACAGTAAAACTTTGTGTGTGCTATTTTAATGTTATGCAGAATGAGGGGAGAGAATAAGAAGAGCTAGATGTAATGGACTATGTTATGCAGCCATGTTGGGAAATGGTGTTATGGGTCTGTTAAGTGTGCGATATTTGTGAGCACAATAGTAAAGATAATTAATGAAACAGAAGTAAACATATATATATATAATATATATATATATATATGGATATTCTTCATTATCAGTGAAGTTATTTTTGTCATGGAAATACGTTACCTTCTTAGTGTAATAAAGGGCCAGCATTTGTTACTTCAAGTCGTCAAGTGACTTTACGATTTATTTCAATGACATTTGATGCACTGAGATGTGGCCGAAACAGTCACTCAGCTGTCAGTCATAGACTTGGTACTAACTTAGTTAACCATCACTACTGTATCACCAACACCAGGGTGAGCGGTTACAAGGGTAACTCTCAACCAGAGGATGATCACCATCACTCTCTGCATCCAATTTCAATCAATTCCACATCTCTCTGTCCAATGTTTTATTGTCATAGCTTGAAGCCAGCCTCAGCAAAAGTTTGACAAGTGTCTTATTATTTGATAGTCTGTCAACTAATTTGAGCAAAATTTTTCTAAGCTCTGCTTAATGCTTATCTTGGAGAGCTGACATTCGGTAAAAGACTAAGTCTGGATGTATTGTCATTAATGGATGTGTACGCACTTCTCGATGTGTACACACTTTTGGATGTACCAGGTTAAAATATCACAGGGAAAGTAGAATTAAAAAAGGGCTGAAAATTTGTTTGTGTCTTACAAATTGCTTGTGATCAGGGAAGTAAGTACCGTATATTTACATACATTTGAATTAAACCCAACCTATGTCATAGTGTGTAGGTTTTGGGGTTTGTCTCTAGGTTGCAGAGCTGAATATCTATGTTGTTGAGGTGAGCCTCTAGGTTGTAGATCTAGGTGTCTAGGTTTTAGATCTGTGTCTCTAGGTTGTAGAGCTGTGTCTCTAGGTTTTAGATCTGTGTCTCTAGGTTTTAGATCTGTGTCTCTAGGTTGAAGAGCTGTGTATCTAGGTTTTAGATCTGTGTCTCTAGGTTGTCAGGCTGAGATAGTTGGAAGCCAGGTCAGCCGATTGTCTGGCTGAAATAGTTGAAAGCCAGCTCAGCCGATTGTCAGGCTGAGATAGTTGAAAGCCAGCTCGGCAGATTTTCAGGCTGAGATAGTTGAAAGCGAGCTCAGCAGATTGTCAGGCTGAGATAGTTGAAAGCCAGCTCAGCAGATTGTAAGGCTTAGTTGAAAGCCAGCACAGCCGATTGTCAGGCTGAGATAGTTGAAATCCAGCTCATCAGATTGTCAGGCTGATATAGTTGAAACCCAGCTCAGCCGATTGTCAGGCTGAGGTAGATTGTCAGAGAATCAGGATAGTAGAGATTAAAGAGATGTGTTTTGAGTGTAGTTTTGAAAGCTGTGATGGTTGGTATATTGCGGATGTGTAATGGAAGAGAATTCCATTAATTGGGGGCTCAGAAAGAGAAAGATCGTTCACTGAATTTTTTTGTGCGAGTCTTGGGTACAGAAAGAATATATGCGTCTGCAGAGGAGCAAAGCTGTCAAAGGGGTGAATAGACGGAGAGAAGTTCGGTTTAATAGGAAGGGCAGGAATTTGAGAAAAAGTTGTGGCAATCCAAATGATGAAATATGAACATGGTGATTGGTGATACAGCAATTTTTATAAATGTATTTAAAACGAATAATTGTGATATTGGCTCAAAATGCCATGCGGTTATATTGGCACTAAATGTATCTTGAATGGGTTTTTTTGGCCAGGTTTTAAAGAAATTTTTGCTGGGAATGGTGACCATCTAGTGGCAACTCAGCAATACATCTCAAACGTACACTTTGAAAATGTGAGTGCCATCATGATATAGATAATAACAATGTGAAAAAACTTGGCTTTGTATATAGTTAATTTAATATTTGATTAAATTTAAAGTATTTACTAACTGTATAGCCTTATCTATATGGCAAAAATCCTCTGAGTGTATCTATGTATATTGAAATTATGAACTTTTTTATTGTTGATACAAAATTATTATTTTCTTAAATATTATTTTGAACTTAAATACATTTCTGATAGCATCTGTAAAGTTAATGGTTGCTATTTGAAATATCCTAGCCATTGTTACAGATGCTATCTCCAATTCTTGGTCAATTATTTTTTATACTGGTACTAACCAAATCCATTTGGATTGTTTTGTATTTTTTATATCGGTACTAACCACATCCATTTGGATTGTTCTGTATTTTTTATACCGGTACTAACCACATCCATCTGGATTGTTCTGCAGGTTGCAAAGAATGCTGCCGCCATACAAGCCAAAGCTGTCCCCATTGTCGTGATGTACTCCTTGAATGACAAGCTGATAGAGCCAAAAATTAGTGCAACATTAGTCAACCATCTTGGAATACCCGAGGCAAACACTGTCAGATTTTCAGCAGACAAGTTACCAGATAAAGACCCCTTTTTAGGTAATTGGCGTCTTAAGTAGTCTTACTTTTGTTGCGGTAACTAATGTACCATTTTATTTTATACCCTATTTATGACAATACATCCAGTCTGTCTTCTCTTAACCCCTCCCTCCATAACAATACATCCAGTCTGTCTTCTCTTAACCCCTCCCTCTAATGACAAAACATCCAATCTGTCTTCTCTTAACCCCTCCCTCCATAACAATACATCCAATCTGTCTTCTCTTAACCCCTCCCTCCATAACAATACATCCAGTCTATCTTCTCCTTAACTCCTCCCTCTATTCCAGAACATCCAGTCTGTCTTCTTAACCTCTCAGTCTATTACAATACTTGTACATCCAGTCTATCTTCTCCTTAACTCTTCCCTCTATTCCAAAACATCCAGTCTGTCCTCTTAACCTCTCAGTCTTTTACAACACATCCAATCTATCTTCTCCTTCAAGTTCAACCCCTTAAAAAAAACTATAGCCAGAGTCAGCAAGAAGAATGTATGCACACTTCTTGATGTATACACACTTCTGGATGTATACACACTTCTGGATGATAAAAACTTGTAGACATAATTTAATGCTAAATTTATTTTAACGCTCACCGATGACAGAAGTGGACAGTCATAATGTGTTCAGTCAGGGAACTCAATGACATCTCTTTTGGACCTCAACGATAGCCTCAAATTTTATAACAGCACTTTAAAATGTTTTATTTTTCTCAAAAGACAACTCTTCCTTTATCAATTTGTTGTTGTTTATGTGAAAAATTTGATATTGCAACCATAAAGACAGTTTTCATTGTATCCCTTGTGTATTAATCTAAATAAGTTAAATTTTAAAATATTAATTCATCCTCCCTCCAGAATTGTGCATGCTGTATTCTCCTAGGGTGAAATGGGCCTTCAGTTTTTGCCAGTGCTAAAATTCTATGAAGTTAATTATCAACCTTATACCTATTTTATGATCATCTCTGGACACTAATTGATGCCAATTATTTGATTCCTCATCAACAGTGCCAGAAGGCTGGCTGTGCCGTTGTTTGATATTTGAGAGAGGCGGCCACGTCGCCCACCTGGCGCACGAAGAGCAGCTGATTGACCAAATAGATGACCTACTGAATTACGCAGCAGCAAAGAAGCAAAATGTCTTATGAGGACATCCATCCTTTAGCCGCCTACTTTAATTTTTTTTTTTTTTTTTTTTTTTTTTTTTTTTTTTTTTTTTTTTTTTACAATGAGAATAGTTATACCTCAAGTGTTATGTGTTTGCGCCAAATATTTGTGGTTTGCAGTATGTCCATCTATGTCTGGTTGTTACTGAAGTACTTGACTGATAGATGCAGCATGGGTGGGTTGATAAATGTCAAGTAAAACTACAACACCAAGTTAAAAATATTGAAAGAGTAGTTTATCTACTTTTATATCAGGTCACAATAGTAGACCAGGCTTGACTTATACATGAATAATGATAGTTTCCTCAGCGGACTAATTTGTGCTAAAAGGACTTTTCTCTCTGTTAAAATACACTACAGGCCCAGGAACATCAAGCCCTCGATGTGGACATCTCTCGAATGATTCCCTCTCGATCTCTCTCTAAGTCTAAGCCACAGTGTACATACCCGCTCATTTTGAAACTCACGAAACACTCAAATAGCTTTTTAAAGGTGGACCCAAACATCCTTGGACAATGGTCTTGCCTTGCGTGTAATTTAAACTACTCCCTTAACCTATTTATTAAGCATGCCTTTCAACCAATGTGGGCAGACACAGTGGGCAGAAACAGTGGGCAGACGCAGTGGGCAGACACAGGCCACACTTCCTTGAGCCATATTTTTTTAATTCTATTTAATTACAGAAGCTCCCTTGCCCTATTTAATAATAAATCATTCACTCGTGATACCATGACCTTGACATTCTACCACCTTGGGGGGGGGGGGTCATTTTAAAATCATGGAGTTTCCTCACAGCTGCTAACAAGGGGAATTTTTTTAATTTAAAATGATGTATGTCTTTTTACACATAGGGAGTGGCCAACACCTGCCACCCCACCCACCCATGCCAGGTGATGAGATTTTATTTATCATTTAAATGCACTGGCTTTATTTATTGTAAATTGTTCTTTCTAATCTTTATGAAAATGTGTATCAACTTCTGTGATAGATTTACACAAAATACATTGGCATAAAATGTGTGCAATGAGTTGGTGTGTTTGGTCTGTCTAATATGTGTGTTTGGTCTGTCTTACGTTTTCTGCCCTGTATTTTTGTTTGGTCTGTCCTGTGTGTTTGTTTGGTCTGTCTTATGTTTGTTTAGTCTGTCTTATAACATGTTTCATTGGTCTGTCTTATATGTTCGTTTGCTCTGTCTTATGTTTGTTTGGTCTGTCTTATTTGTTTTGTAGAGTTGTGTTTTGCAATTGCTGGACATCAAAACCAGAAACTCGTTTAATGTATTCTAATTTTTGTCACTCTCATCTTATCAAGTGAATTGTTTCCGCATTGTCACTGCGAGTACCGGTACCATAAATAAAGAGAGGTAATTATTGTAACTTGGTGAATTTTTTCACTCAATTTCAAGCTGCTTCCCCTTAAATAAATAGATTATGTTTCCTGTGGTAAATGGAGGAGCTAGTTCCTTATGTCTGGTGACATGAACCCCACGCTGTTGTCGCTCGCCAAGTTGTTTTTTTTTTTTCTTTCACCGTTTTGTCCTAGGCGAGGGAGAGTGAGGATTCGTTTAGCCGTTGGGACTTACTGCTGCTGCAACACCTGGTTTTTTTTTTTTTTAAGGGGGTTGGGGGCATCCACGACAAATTATCCGGACACTCGGAGGAACCTCTTGTCTCATGCCTCATCGGTGGAATAATCATAGGCAGCGGATTCTATTTATAGGGATATGTCTCCCGAGTATTCTGTACTGTTGTTTTTTGTTTTGTTTTTTTTAAAAGAAAATTGACAGGCTGCGCGACTTCCTGCCCGTCGCGTGCTTGTGAAGTTGCGGGGCGTGTGTAGTTTGGAGAGTAGGTAAACGGTATGACAGTGACTCGGTGTGCCACACGCGGGCCATCAAGAGTGACATGTAGCTAGTGATGCGTGGACAGGTGTGTAATGCCGTGGAGGACTTAACTGCTTCCTCTTGGGGAAGGTCATTCATGTGGGATTGGATTTTACCTGATTCAACTTTATACAAAATATGTAACAGTATTTTAAGTGAATGTATAGAAGATGTGTGTTGGGGCATCAGCAGAACTGTGACTGTGATTATGGAGAAACCAAATAGCCTACTCTTAGTACTACGTAGACGTACGTAATGTGGTGTTATAATTGTAGGGTGTTTTGTAAAGTGTAAGTAGGACCTGCAGTTGTTTACAAAATTAGAATTCTATTTTTTAAAAAAAAACAAGTTTTGCATAGCCGTTAAGCCTAATACTAATTGATATTATATTAACTATTAACATTTTGGCCAGTTCTCTCGATGACTCAAAAAGCTAATAATATAAATATGCTACGTTGTTACTCCTACTAAAGTTGATTTAGTTTTTTGTGTGAGAATCATCGAAATGTGCGTTAGCTATTGATTAAGAAAAACAAAACAATTTAGCCTAATCATGAGTGTCAACATCCTTTGCCTTTACATTACAACGATGTACAATTTTATCCTAGGATTCTAATCAAAAATAAAACACATTAATTTGCTTTGGATTAAACACTTTCAAAATACGAAGCACTTTATCTCATGATCCAGTTAGATGTAACATTTCTTTTCCAGACATATAATTTTAACCCTTTCTATCTAACCATTTTCTGTGTCGCCTGCTATGCGGGTAGATTTCAAGTAGTCATTCATGTCATGTGAATTCTGGCCTAGCTTGATTACGAATGTCCTGATTTATTTCAGTTTTTATAATCAAATTTAGGTTGGTTGGAACAGAATCGTGAGTGGAAACGAGTGCAGTAGTTTTATTATTAGCAATTCATTGTGTTTAAATTTAAAAGTAAGGTGAAAATTATCTGATTATTTTCAAGACAGCTGATTGGATTAAATTAATTGATTAAGGGTGGAAAAATTATTATTTCCAAATTTGTGAAAGATGTGCATTGGATATGTGATACATACCAACTGTATCGCCAAGGATTAAATTTGATCAAGATTTGAGTACCAGCCATGAGTTTATGGAGCCCAAGTCATGTTCAGTTTACAGGTATGTACAAGATATGCAAGGGTCAGGGGTGGTTCAATTAACTGGGATAAAAATAAGTTGTTTTTTTTTTAAATTGTATTTATTATATTGGATTTTTTTTTAAAATATGCTTTATTATGCATGCCCTTCTTTCTATTCCTTACGCTTAAAGTCATTGCATCATCGTTGTTTTGTTGTTGTTGTTTTTTTTTGTTTTTTTTTTGGGGGGGGGGTTGAAGAGATTACCATCGAACCAAACTCTTGTCACTTGTGTTAATTAATTAGGTTTATATTTATAGACATGCCTATTCTCTGAAACCAGTCGTCTATAAGTTTCCGTGAAATGTTAATGTCTCAGCTTATTTAGTGCATTGACTTTAACTTAATTACTTTTGAAATACATATTCAAAGAAACAATAAAGTTAGCATTAACAAGCGCCCACTCCCCCACCTTCAGCCCCGTGTCCCCGTTGAATGGGCAAGCAGATCGACACACATAGTGTGACATACTATGTTATGAATAGGGCCACTGTGCGATGTCACGCAGAGAGCCGATATTCCCCGTTGGATCATTTATCACACTCGAGTTTGACTCTTTGAAAACAGAGTATTGACCTAAAGGTGACGGCTGCTTTCATACATACCTAGTCCACTTGTCTCCTAGTGGATGTGTCTGAGGTTCTTGTTTTAACATGGGATTCTAGCGGTGCTGTGACACTGTGAGTTGCAGTCGACGTAGCCGCTACAACATTCATTCATTGATAGTATACAACATATTGGTTCCTCCCACAGAGTCTCCTTCTGCTCCTCTCCTACATGACCTGCAATGCTAAGATCTCCAAATAACGTTAGGTGCAGTAGCGACATTGGGGGGGGGGGTGAAAAAAGTCGGTTTCCATTTAAATTCATGTTGATAAATGTTTCCCCGGACCAACAAATTGGACCTGTGACTTCGATAGACTGCGAAAGTTGGTCTATAACTTTTGCTCCTCTCCTACATGACCTGCAATGCTAAGGTCTCCAAATAACGTTAGGTGCAGTAGCGACATTGGGGGGGGGGGTGACAAAAGTCGGTTTCCATTTAAATTCATGCTGATAAATGGTTCACCGGACCAACAAATTGGACCTGTGACTTCGATAGACTGCTAAATGTGGTCTATGACTTCGATAGACTGCTAAATGTGGTCTATGACTTCGATAGACTGCTAAATGTGGTCTATGACTTCGATAGACTGCTGAATGTGGTCTATGACTTCGATAGACTGCTAAATCTGGTCTATGACTTCGATAGACTGCTAAATCTGGTCTATGACTTCGATAGACTGGTAAATGTGGTCTATGACTTCGATAGACTGCTAAATGTGGTCTATGACTTCGAGAGATTGTTAAATGAACCCATGCCCATGGCTTCGATGGACTTCCAAAGAAGAGGTCAAGTGTCTTCGTCAGCTTCCAAAGGGGATCCATGTAATACTTTTGAATCTCAAAAACGCTTTTTATCAGTAGGCCTACATGCCCAGCTTTTCCGCGGCCCTCTATCCTGTCAATACACCACTGGATGGCTATGTGACAGCCCCCCAACCCTGTCAGTACGTTACTGGATGGCTATGTGAAAGCCCCCTCCCCTCCTCCCAACCCTGTCAGTTCGCTACCGGATGGCCGTGTGACAGCCCCCACAACCCTGTCAGTACCCTGCTGGTGGCTATGTGGTTGCTAAATGTCAGTTGACCGTAGACTATAGATAGGGTGACCAAATCATGAACTAGAAAAAACGGGACACCCAAGGAGGGTTGGGGGGAGGGGGATACCCTTCAGCTGAAGAGGGGTCCGGAAACTTTTTATTGAAATATGCCCATTTTAATTATTTTGAGACCTAGAAATCTTTTTAAATTTACCTTCACTTTTTTAATTTAATTTAAACTCTGAGGCATATCATAAACGAAAACAATAATTTTGCAGTGAATACTTATTTATTCATACATATAAGATCTATTGGCAG